GAGGATTAGCCACATCCTTAGCATGGACTGCTTCAGGGCTTCCCCAGAATTGGCTAGCAGAGGCACTTTTCCTCAATTAAAATTGGAGGTCAACCCCTCATTTTAGCCCCAGGAGGTTACTTGGAGAGTGTGTATGAGGGTGACACACCTTCTGTGGTGCCCACATCTGCGTTCCTTCAGGTGTCGCTGATCTGCATGGGCTTCCTGCTCAGAAAGGGGAGAAACTCTTGGAGCAGAAATGCAGCGTGCAGCCTCTTCTGAGAGTGGGTGACTGTCGTGTCCGGTGCTGGCTGGAAGGGCCCATCCAATGCCTCCTGCAGAGTGGCAGCAGGCAGCCCCTTCTGCAGCTGTGCCCTTTGAGCTCACAGGACCCTGTCCTGGAATCCATTCATGGTTCGGGGTGCCATAATCATTCTCGTCCTGCTCACAGATTTGGAGTAAACGGAGATCCAAGGAAAGGCATCTTCTAATTTAGCCCCGTACACTTCACATATACAGTTCTCTAATTGCAGGGGTAGCCAGTCACATCCCGCCAGGTGCACCTCACATCCACCTTTGCAGATGGATTCAGAAACTGTGGTTCAAAATGCAGCGGTGGGAGGACTAACTGGCCTTGAGCTGAGTGTCATGTTCATTGCGTCCTGGTGCCCAGTGGCTCCCAGCAAGAAAGCCACAAAACTCCTTAGAAAGAGGGGTAGGGCACCTCTTTCATTCTGAGGCACCCCACCCCAGGGAGCTGTTGGGGTCTGCATCGGTGGAGTGGGGGAGGGCAGAAGGCGCTTGCCGCATCTTTCAACTTAAAGTGCAGATTACTGGTAATTCAGTCTCAGCATTTCAACATTTTGGATGCTTGCGCAAAAGCTGGGAAAACGATTCTGTGGTTTCAGGAAAAGAGACCAGGGGAGAGGCCACCTAAGAACCGCAGGAAGGCTGGATTCCCCCCCCCCCCCCCCACACACCACCACCACTTTAAGATGCCCAGAGGATTGCCAACAAAGGCTCTTGAGACACCTTAAAGACAAACATGACATCCATGTTTGTGCACTTGAGGTCTCTCAGTTCAATGCAGGGATGCTGTTATTCTTGATAGGCAGGTGTGTCAAATCATGGCAGTCAGACAACAATGATGCTTCCTGGGCATCTCAACAAGAAACAATTTCTCATCATATTAATAAAAAGTGTGTGTCCACCCTTACATATCATGGTTGGTATTCCCGTTCATTTAAGGCATGAAGTTCTGGATCCTCCCTCCCTGCTCTCTCCATGTATTGCTGCTGTACCCAGACATTGAACTGGTCGTTCACAAATTGGAGGCAAATGAGTTTTTTCTCAGCATATTCTTTTTGCAGTTGTTGGTAAGTGGTTGATCACTATTTATACTTATAAGGGTGGAATCCGATTTAGGGGCTGGTGACCCTCCTGCCAGACGCTGTGCTCACAGCGGCATATGCCAGAGACTAGAGGCAAAGCCCAGTGCGGAGAGGTTGAGAGAACTACGCCTTGAGAAGAAGAAAGTGAGCGGAGGGATGGTGGCACCTTACAAGGATTTGCTAGGCTGTCACAAAGGGGAGGGCCAGGATCTCGTCTTCATTCCAGAGTGCAGAACACAGAGCAACGGACTTAAGTTAAAAGAAACCTGATTTAGAGTAGACTCCAGGAAGCATTTCCTCACCGTCAGGGCCGCACGACATGGAACGTACTGCCTGGGGAAGTGGTGGCCTCCCTCTCGCTGGAGACGTTCGAAAAGCGTTTGGACAGTCCTCTGAGTGGGATGGTGTGGCTTGGTGTCCCGCAAGAGCAGGAGGCTGGACACGAGGGCCTCCTGGCCCCTTCCAGCTCTGCACTTCCATGACTCTAGGGCGCAAGCCCACGCAAATGGAGACACCCCGGGAGCTGCGGGGTCTCTCCCTGCCTAAGCGCGCGGGGGCCGCCCGTAGTTGCCCTTTTCGCCGGCGCAAGATCAGCCCGCGCCCGCGCTGCGCAGCCGAAGCCGCCCGCTCTGCGGAGGAACGCCCCGCGAGCCCGCGGGCGAGCGGGCAGCCAAGACCAGGCCGGGCCCGGAGCTTGCTTTCAGGAAGCGGCGGGACGCGATGCGGGGCTCCGGGCCCACTGGGGCGTCCCCCGGCGGGGCCGCTGCGGGAAGGGGCCGCTGCGTGCGCGCCGAGCCGTGCGGGGAGCCACAGACCTGCGCGGCCGCCGCCCTCGGCGCCCGCCCCCGCCCTGCCTCACCCGCAGAGAGCAGGCGGGGGCCTCGGGGGCTGGGGACGCCGGCGCGGGGAGCCGCCTCGGAGCGGCCTCGCCTCGGGCAGCGGCAGGCGGTGCCCTCGTAAAACCGAGCCGCCCCTCCTCGCTGGCATCCCTCGCGCGGCCCCCCCGGGCCGGGCAACATCTGGGGCTTTGTCGGCGCCACCGGAGCGAATCGCCCATTATGGGGCCGCGGCGCTGAATGGGCCGCGGCGACGCGCGGTCCGGAGCGAGGCGAATCGGGGCCACGCCCCGCCGGCGCCCCCCGCCCTGCTCCTTTCCCACGTGCATTTCGGAGGCCGCAGGGTCTCCCTGCCGCCCCGCCCGCCACGCTGGGGGCCAAGCGGGACCTCTCGGGCGCACCCAGAGCAGCCTGGAGAGGGCCCGCTTTGATCCGGGCGCTGCTGGAGCGGACGTGCCGAGGCCGGGAGGACGCTGCTTCGCAATCGTCAGGAAGGTGCAGTCAGGAGGGCGTACCGAGGAGGGGGGGGGTACTGTCTCTCAATGAAAAACACTGCGAACGGCCCGGGAAGAGCCCCCAACCCAGAGAGCCCGGCGGAGAAGACACAGCGGGTGCGGGGCGTGGGCCGGGGCGTGGGCCGGAGCAGCTCGTGCGTGCTTCTCAGTTATACCCCCCCCCCCCGCGCACACACCTGCATGGACGTCCTGCCACGCTTTAACTGGACATGTGTTTCTGCCTGCCCTCAGTGCTGCACCCCCAAAGTGGGGTGCATGGCCAGGGCACCCCGCTCCCTCCACGTAGAACGGCCCCACTCAGGGACTGGACAGAGTCTGCGGAGTGGGGTAAAGCTCAGCACCCCTGATGCAGGCTCTTCCATGGGGCCTTAGCACAATCGCCCCGGGTTGCTGTATCCTCACCGCGACCCTGTGAGATCGGTGAAGCGGGGCTCTGGGGCCGCCCCCTAGTGAGCTGGGGATGTGGATCCCGCTCTGCCATGTCCCACAGGCTCTCCTATTTGTTTCTGCTGAATATCAGCTTTCTTGAAGCAGCAGAACAAAACAAAAGCACAACAGTGCTAAACTGAAGACTGGTAACACTGTTGTTAACCAGTCACTTCAGCAGACGAGCTTCCTGCAAAATAGTTCCCAAGGGCCTGTGTTAAGCTGAGCCAAGAGAATCACATGTTGGCCTTGCCTTGACATACACTAATGACTGAGTCACACACTGTGAATTCATTCTTTTAAATACAATCCATTAATTACTATTAAAGAAATGGTTTCTTCCACCGATGGCCCCCTTTCTTTATCTGACTTTCCAGCAACCTGAGAAAGGGTCTTCCATTCCAGAGTATTTAAAAAATCAAGAAGCTGCACTTTCAAATCATGAGGTTTAAAAAACGGCATCACCAAAGCCATGTTTTTCAGACCTCCCAAAGGTGACTAAAAGAGCAACCTTATGAAGGTTTACTCAAAGTAAGTCCCACAGTGTGGAGAGTATGTGCAGGCTGCAAACTGTGATCCACATACCAGGCAGCACAACTCTGTGGAACTCAGGGACATACAAGGTTAACTTTTCTGGCTTTGCTCTCCAGTGGTGCAGTTGAAATGGGTCTGGCCCCAGGACCACCACCAGCTCCGAACTGTTCATCTCAGGGGCTTCTGGAGTTTGTCTGCCGGGGAGGAAACACCCCTGTGAGGGCCCCTGAAAGCGAGGTTGCAGGGCGCGGGGTGCTAAGGCCCTGTGCTGAGTCCCTTATCAGAGGCCCGGTGCCCAGGGCTGCCCTGGGCCTTGCCATGCCACAGGGGTTTCTGCCTGGGGGAAGGGGCCCTGCAGATGGCTGTGGGCATTACGCCCTCTATTCCAACTGCCAGCGTGGCCAGCTTGTGGGGAGCTGCCTGGCTCCTCAGTGAACAGGGAAAGGCACTCTGCACATGTTTAAAGAGCTTTATCCCAGGGGAAGTCTGGCCCTCCAAACAGCTCCCTGGGAAGAGGACGATCTCCCACCCCTGCCCCGCTCCATGTCCCCCTCCTGGAGGCGGGCTGCTTCCAAGCAGGAGAGCTGTGCAGGGTTGCACAGAATAGGTCACTTCACAGTCTTTTGTAAGCAAAGCATGGGCGGCTATTTTCTAGGCGCCCCCCTCTCTGCAGAACTGTCCCTCCTCTCCTCCCCCCCCCACTCCCTCCTCTCTGGGGGGAGGTGCCCCAGCCTGAATGCAGCCATTCACATGGAAAGCAACCCCCTGGTTAAATGCCAGCCCCTCCATGCGATGCGGGTCACAGGACCAAGACCGGCAGTGGAGCCACCATGGGAACAGCCTCCAGGCCACAGGACAGGCGGGTGTTGGGCTCCTTCCGCAAGGTTAGTGGCTCTGGACTTCCAGAGGGGGCAAAAGGAAGGGACGGTCCCCCTCCACCGCAAGCCCAGTCCTGCTGGAGAAAGCAGGCCCATTCCATGCCACGGGCCTTCCAGAGGGCAGCCTGCCGGCACCAGTTTTTAGCACCAGGGCACACTAGATTCCAGCACATATGAAGAATAGATGCAGGTGCCCCTGAGCATATGCAAAATGCATTTCTCTCCCTACTGGGAGACAGCAAGGCTGTGCTGGACTGAAAGCGCCCTTCTGCCTGCAGAGACCCTTTGCAGGTATTCTGTGGTGGCAGGGAAAGTGCACTCTGTACATGCCTTAGGGGCTGTCCCCACTCCATTTGCTGTGGGAAGAGAAAGAGGGCCAGGATGGAACCCTTCCCTGGGAATCAAGTCTTGCTTCTGCTTCTCCAGGTCTCCAAGCCCCTGATGGAGAAGAAGAGGCGAGCTCGTATCAACCTTTCTCTGGAGCAGCTCAAGGCTCTGCTGGAAAAGCACTGTTCCCACCAGGTGAGGCGGCCCATCCCACTTCCAGGAGGTGCACCTGCCTTGTCTACCAGCTGGGGGCTTTGCATCTCCTCGAACCTCCCTTTGAAAATTGCAGAGGCAGAAGCACAAGTGTGTTTTTTTCCATCATGCCTGGAAACTCAAGGACAGCAGGGCTTTACGGTCAGGGAGTGACTCAGGAAGCCAGGGAACGGGGGAAGCCAGGGCAAAATTGGGGACCCACCTCAGCCCCACCCAAGTTGTTTCTTTCCTGGGGTCAGGGAGCAACAAGATGGGTTAAAGGGATCCTTCCTCCAAGTGAGGGGAGGCATGGGGGAACCCAGTAACCTTGGCTTGCTTTGAAAATAAAACTACAGATCCGAAAGCGCAAATTGGAGAAGGCAGATATTCTGGAGCTGAGTGTGAAGTACATGAAAAGTCTACAGCACTCTGAGCAAGGTAAAGAGACACCTCAGATAAAATCGAGGGCCCTTTGGGTGGTTTGGAAAACTGTTGGTCTGTTATTAGTAGCTGTTGGTTGGTTGATTATCAGAGCAAGCACGAGCCCCTTCCTTTGATTTGCTGAACCGTCCGCTGAAAAGAGGCATCCCCCACCATGTACAGCACTCCATGCACATGTGTTAAAATATTTAATTTTTTTAAATCCAGTGACCAGTGAATCGGGAGGGGCATTTTTAACCAAGGAAAGGCAGCACAGGAATCAGGAGCTGCTGGTAGATCTCTCTGCATGACTTGCCATAGGTCCTCAAAGATTCCTGACTCCCAACTAACAGTACCAGCACCTAAAATGCCAGCTCCCTCCCCACCACTCCAAATCAGATTTCTGGAAAAGAGCTCAGAGGGGTAGGAAACAGGAGCAAGAGCACGGGGCCCGGACTCAGGAGGGCTGGTTCGAGCCCCCACTGGCCATGGAGCTCACTGGATGCTTTGGGGGCCACGCTTGACTCAGCCATGCCCACTTCACAGGGTTCTTGGTGTGGGAACACAGTGGAGGAAAGAAGGATCATGTACAGCACCTGGGCTCTTTGGAGGAAGAGGTGGGCCATATAAGGGATGAAAAGCAACGTTACATATAGACAGAATGATGGGAACACCGCACCAGGGTGGATTGCCGGGAAGCCAGCGTGCTGCAGCGATTAGGGTTTGGGGCTGATAACTGGGAGATCTGCTTTCTGGTCCCCTCATCCATGATGCACGGGGGGGGGGGGCGCTTTGGGCCAACCGCATCCCCTCAGCCTGATCTACATCAGAGGGTGGTGGTTGCAAAGATAAAATGGATAGAGAGAAGCTGCTCTGGGGTCTTCTCAAGAGGCAAAGAGGCCAGATGTAAGTGCAGTTGCTGGGGAAAGTCGAAGGCAGAAGGCAAGATGGAAGACCAAAGGTGGGATGGATGGACTCCATCAAGGAGCCCCAGCCTTGAATTCCAATGAGCTGAGCAGGGCTGTCATGGGCAGGACATTTGGGGGGGGGACTCTCATTCATGGGGTCACCATAAGTTGGAGGTCACTTGATGGCTCATCATAGCAGCATAGATGCAACCCAGTGGCGGCTGCGTGAAGGGAGTTGTGCAAGCGGTGCTGACCCTGAACACCAGTCCCCTGCTCACCTGTGTTCCTGAAAGAGCATCTCTCCATCTGCCTGGGCCAGTTTTATACCGCGGACCCCAGGGGGCAGAGCGTGGCCTCTGGCCAATCGCTGTCCCCGGCGCAGCCCTCACCCACCTGTGCTCTGCCCACCTCTGCTTTAGCCCTTGCCAGGCATCCTGCTGGAACTCACTCTGGTGATGCCCAAAGGCTGGCATTCTCCGGGAGGCCACAAAAATAAAACCTGATGCTGCTGCACTCCCCAGCCCCCTCCCAGTCACTCAGTGGGAAGCCCCCACAGGGCAGGGGGTTGGATTGGGACCAGGAGGACCCAGGTCCAAATCCCCACCTGGCAATGACACACACACAGTGGCGTTGGGCCACTCACGGACACTTAGTTCAACCTACCTTGCAGGATTGTTGTGATGGTCAAATGGAGAGGCAGAGGATTCTGACAGTCATCCTGGCTTTCTTGGAGGAAAGAGGCATAATATAAATGTCATGACCAATAAGATAAAGGGCTTCACCTACTGTCTCAGCATGACCAAATGTAGCATCAGGAAGTAGAAGGTGTTACTCTTAATTGAACCAGAGCAATTTTTAAAAGCAAACAGGAACAGAGTTTCTTGGTAGACACAGACCAGCCGTTTGAGTCCTCCCAGAAGGCCCTCTGCACAGCTTTTTAAATCCCTGACCCTTGTGGCTTTCAAGGGTGCTTTCAGGTTTTGTTGTGCGTGCTGACGGTGATAGCTTTAACATTCTCACATTTTTGTAAATTGCCTAGCTGGGCTTCAGGAAGGGGACACAGAAATTGAGTGACAAAGTAAATAGCAAGCACCGCATGCCTGGTGTGGATCTGGGAAGTTTTTGAGCCCTGGAGCCAGACTGGGCAAGGGACTTGGCTCCTCCCAAGGGTCCAGCGGGCCTGACACACCTGCTCTCCTCCCCCAGGCCTCCCCAGCACCCCCAAGAGCGCCGACTACCAGGCCGGCTTCTGGAGCTGTTTGCAAGGCGTGCGCCAGCTTTTGCTGAGCCCTGAAGCAGCGGGTGACGCGCCGGCCTTCCCCGCGCAGATGCCGGTCGAACTAGCCCTGGCCCTGCCTGCCGGGGAGCGCGGCGGCGGCGGCGGCTTCAGCACCACGGACAGCGGGCCCCCGCCGGCGCTGCCGGGCTGCCTGAAGGCGAGCGCCCCGAAGCCCCAGGCTCTGCGCCCTCCGAACGAGGACTCCGCCCCTTCGGCGGGAGGCCGGGGCCAGGCGAGGGGGCCCGATGAACGAGGCCGCCTAGAGCGGGGTCAACAGCTGTGGCGACCGTGGTAAGGAGAACACCCCTGTTGCACGCCTGGTTCCCAAGCACCGAGGTCAAGCGTGCGCCCCAATTACTGGGGGCTCTGCCTGTGTTCTCGTCTGGGGAGGCATTCCTACGCACACCGACCCACAGCAAGCCCCACTGCAAACACGCTCAGGAGTGGAGTGCGATGGGCCCCAGAACCACGGGGGCAGCTTCGCACCTGCGGCTCTTTCCCAAGCTCTCCTCTCAGCCCTGCTTTGCGTGTGGACCCTCAGGGCAGAATGTAGAACCGGTGGCTCCCACCTGTGCTGGCAGCACCCTCTGCAGGCCCCCTCAGGAGCCCGCCCTCTCCCTGCCACAGGCCCCGGCTGCTCCTGCCCCTGCCCTCGCCCTGTTCCTCCTCAGGGCTCCCACCCGCTTGCTTGGCTGCCAGAGAGCTGGGAGTGAGGGCCCCCCGGGCTCTCCTGCCCCTCCTGCTAGCCGCCACCACTGCCTGAACCAGAGGGGGTGGGTGAGCGGGCAGGCCAGCATGGGTCAGAGGAGGGACAAACCCAGGGGGCTCTTGCCTGTCCCCCCCTGGTGGGGGGGGGTGAGTCCTCGGAAGGTGCCTGTCCGTGCTGGCCCTGCATTTTGGCCCCGGTCCCAGTGCAGCCCTCAGGCCCCGAGCTCCAAGCCCACTGGATGCAAGGAAGATGACAGAATCGTCCCAGCTCACTCAGGTCAGCCTCGTGCCTGCGCTGTCCCGGAGTTTGGTGTTTCCTCATGCTCTCCAGCCCCATCTCTTTCTTTTCTATGAGGGCAGCTGCCCCCAACTTTTCCATTTTGGCTACACAAGAAGCAATAACCATGAAGGAATCTTTCGGCCTGGAGAGGCACTGATGGGGAAAGCTGTACCCGCTGGATTGCTTCCCATTGCAAAGATGCCCGGGCACATTGCCTCTGCTTCGGAAGGGGCAGGTGGGGCTGGGAACCCTCATTTCAATGGATCCTTCTAAACAAAGAACTACCAAGGAAACAAATGTTGGGGGGTGGGAGGTGATCAAGGGACACAACAAGGTTGCCCATGGAACAGGGGGGAAAGAACGGCGCTGACTGTGTGGCCTTTTGCAGCACCTTCAGCCAGGGAAGCTTTGTATTAAATCTAGACTAGCATCTGTGCCAGGCCACAGCAACTCGTCTGGCTTGTGTAAATGGCACGGGAGCAGAGGCGGGTGGGAAATGCTGGACACGCCTTCTGCTGGATCAAGCCCCTCTTTGTAAGTCTGTGCATTTCCCCTCTGGAGAAGGAGTAAGGAGCTGCTATGGAAGCCTTGCTTTTGTACTTACAGATCTGTTTGGTGTAAAACTGTTCCCTAAAAGATAGACATAGTGTACAGGTTTGTTTTTTAGCAAAAACAAAAAATGGGGATTTAAAAAATAAAAATGTCTTCTCTTTGATGTCGGTGTTTGCTTCTTTTATGTTGGCTGTGAGAGGATCAGGGAAGGATTCCGTACTCTTATCGCTGGAGCCACGTGGTGCAGCAAAGAATAGCAACAGTGCAGGCAGCAACTGGAAGCATTTTGCCCCTAGGGGCAGGTGGGGAGGTCTGTCATGCTAGGCCTGTTCTCCCCAACCCACTGCAATTCCTCCCTTCTGAATGCTGGGGAAGAGGAAATGCAGAGCTCTGCACCAGCCCCAGTTCTTTAAAGGAACAGCAATGTCCTGTGCAGCTTTGCATTTGAGGGTTTCAAGAGGCAGCAGAGCCCCGTGGCTGCGGTGCGAAAGCTGAGCTCCATCGGCTGCCACTCAGGGACATTGCGGTGGGGCTCTCAACTCTGGCCCCAAAGTCCAGGGGGTGCCTCTGCCTAGAAATCACTGCAGGATATTTCCACCCCCACTGAAGGGGCAATGGAGCCGGTACTGGGGCCACATTGCAACAGCCACGTCCGGCTGCAAGAGAGCAATGTTCCTGCAACAAGGATTTGTAAGCTTGGACGCAGAAGGGTGCAAGAAGCAGGGATGGGCAGCCCCTTGACAAATCACAATGAAGGGGCTCAGGTCATGGGATCCCTGGGAGGTTCCAAGGGGATCTACTGGGTGCCAGAAGGGCTGGCTCTTGGAGGGGCAGAAGGCTTTGCCAGCAGCGAGGAGCGTTGAGAGGAGGGAGCCCAGGAGTGTGGCCATGGCAGCTGCTTCGGCTGCAGTGGAAGTGGCGGGAGAGGAACCACACAGCCCCCTTGGGTGTGAGTGCAGGCCAGCCTGGAGCCGCTGTGCCAAGTGCAGCAGCCGCTGCAGATTCCTGCCTGGACCCCTTCTGGTGTCTGCCCCAAGCAGCTTCCCAAGCTGTGGAGATCCAACTGGTGAAGATCCGGTAGAGGTGGAGGGGAACCTCCCTCAGCTGAGCCGTTCCAGGCCAGGCTGCCGAGCCTTCGCTCGCTTGAGAACAGGATGCCCGTTCGCAGAACGTGCTGACTGGGGCTAAACTGAAAGGGAGGGCTTGCGAGTGGCTGTTGATTAATGGGCCCCCCAGGAGGGGGAGAATCCACGCTGGGCCCACCCGTGGCATTGTTAGGATCAGGCACAAGGGGGCTCCCTTGCAAGTCGGGGGGAGTCCAAGGCACGAAGGAGCCACTGTCCAGAGCAGGCCTCCCAGGAGCGAGTCGGCAGAGGGAGCACGGGGTGGTGGCCCATGGCGAGGGAGCGAGCAGGCGCCACGGGTGCCTGGGAGGCGTCTGGCCAGCATGGGGCCAGCGCTGCAGGCCAAGCCATCTGGGCTCACAGGTGCCAGAAGGGTGGGCGGATACCATGGGTGCCTGTCCACCCCCTCTGCCCTCCCTTTCCTGGTCTTCCTGTGGGTATTGCAAGGGACATTGTACCCCCCCCGCCCGCCAAAAGCTGCTGTGCCCTTTTGCACTCCTTGTTTGGCACCCCTGAACTGTCCCTGCAGCAAGACCCTGAGATCCCTGGGGAACATGTCTGGTCATGTCTACGGAGAATGGTACTCGTTTTGACCTGCCCCGCTGGATTTACTGGGGGACACTTTCAAAACTGAGGGAGCACTGATCTGTCCCCCAAGTGCTGAGACATGTGCCACAAAGCATGGGAACAATCTCACCCCATTCCTAAACTGTGATTTCTAGGGCTTTTGCCAGTCTCCAACTATCTGCCATCTGCCAGAGGCTTACCAATGTGGGAGGAATACTTACCTGCAGCCCAAGAGGCATCTGCAGCCAGGACCCTCCCAGGACGCCTGTGCACTGACCCTGCAGAGGCGCCATGGAAGGACATCCCCCGGCTGCCAAAATGGACTTGCAAAAACCAGCCTGCTGGGCTGTTTTCACAATCTCCTCCCTCCCTTCAAAAAATTCAAAAGGAAAACCAAGCTGCACTGAGCCCAAAACAGCTGGTGGTGGCAGTAGGTGTGCGTGTGTGCGGGGGCCTCTGCCAGCCCCTCCCAAGTGCCATTTGGGTACTTGGGGGGCAGCAGGCAGAAGTGGTCATGTGGCAGCCGCTTGGCATGAGCAGCAAGGTTGGGGGGGCTGCCCCTCCAGCCAAGCAGCTCTGTAGCAAGGAGCCCTCGCCCACAAAAGGCTGTGCCATTGGACTGAGACAATGCAGCAACTGAGCATGGGCCCAGTGGCCCCTTCTACAGGCTGTTGGGTACTAGGGTGGCTTCGCATCCAGAAACTGTGGTGACACCTAAATGCACGGGATTGGCCTGTGCGAAAGCACACTTGCCAGCCCTCCAGAATGGGGGTCATCAGGCCCCCTTTGCAGTCCGCAGGAACAGTGCCCTCCCCTGCTGGCGTTTGCCTGAGCTGCATCCTGGGGCAGCCAGATCTGTGCGGCTTTCCTTGATTTTGATGTCCTGCCTTGCTCCCACTGGTACGCCCACCGCCTTGGGAAGAGTCTTCTCTCAGAGGTGGCATCAAAGTGATATTTAATTATTTATTTAAAATAATTGCTGGCTTGTTTCTTTATTTAAACTACGGATTGAAAATGAAGATGGCATGTCTCCCTCCCTCCACATGGTAAGCAAACGCGAGTTCTTGGCCGGCTTACACGGGGCTACCTGACACGCTCCTTGTGAGGGGGGTGGCCGGGAGCCTCCAGCTGCACTCGCCGAATTCCAGCTGCGAGGGGGACACAGGGCCTGCAGCTTGGAGCAGTCACGGTTTCCCATGGCGGTCAGGAGAGGGTCCCGGAGGGAGGGTCTCTGTGGGCCACTCCAAACCAACCCTTCCCCGAAGCGTTCTCTTTGCAGCAAGGAAGCACCCTGCTGTGCAAGCGGAAGGCCCGCCTGAGGCCCGGCTGCTCCGGCGTGGGCTGGGAAGCAGTCCCGCCCAGTCCCTGGAGAGCCACTGCTGCCATCCAAGGGGATGGCTCTGCAAGGGCAGCTCACCGGGTTCCCCTCTGTGGACTTCGTGGAGCTGCTTGGCAGGCCAGGCCAGGCCAGGTGAGGGAAGCTGTCCTCCGCCATGGGGCTCGACGGTCCTGCTTGTCTGAGAGGGACGGCACGGTTCCCGAGCGCAGGCAGCGTGCAATCCAGGCGAGGCAGTTGCTCAGGGAGCCATCTGTCTCTCTCAGCCCGATGACTGCATCTCCCAGCCACAAGGTGGCACCATCCCCGTGCAAAGTTCCAGATGGTCATGAATCCAGATGCTGCAGGTACTGCAAACAGTTGGTGGATCCAAACGGGGGGCCTGTCTTCAGCTTCCTTGTGCACACTGCCGCACTGCTGTTTCTCTTCAAAGCCCTAAACCAGCTGGCATAGCCGGCAGGGGATGCTGCGAGTTCAGCACACCTGCAAGGGACCAGGTGCCCAGGTGCAGCTCTCTTGCTTACCAGAGGGGGTGTGACGCAGTCCCAAAGGGAGCAACCTTCTCGGGGTGGCCCCTGGCTTTGGACCCCCCTCCCTGAATTTCAAGACAAATGCTTGACACCAAGGTAAGGCAATTCTGCTTACTTGGGCAAGTTGGCAGGTGCAGCCCAGAGCTCGACGGAGGACCAAGGTGGCGGCACCCCAGTCCGTGACTACGAGCCATGCAA